ATGAAAACCAGAAAATTTGCTTTGCTTCGCCTAATTTATCATTATTTATAAATTGACGAAGAGATTAGAAAAGGTGTGATAATGTTACCATTTCTGTAAGCTGACAAAGAATCATCTTTTCCGTAAACTGATAAAGGGGTATCATCATCGTTATGAACTGGTGGAAAGTCATTATTACCGTGAACTGATAAGAAAAGATTGTTTCTGTAAATTGGTGAAGAGACATTATTACTGTAAACTGGTGAAGAGACATTTCTGTAAACTGGCGAAGAGACATTATTTCCGTGAATTAAGAAAGAGCCATTATTTTTGTGAACTGGTGAAGAATTTGGAAAAGGTACACTTTCAGCATCACTTTCACGATCTGACAAAGATGTGGTATCATTATTGTCTTGATCCGTTAAATGAGTAATATCATCATTTTCTTCTTCGTGCCTTTGATTATTAGTCTCAAATTGAGATAATGATTCATTAGATAACTATTTTCGTAGATATACTATTAATATTCAACCATTTTTCATTAGTGTACTTTATTGAAGCAGAGATCTTTTACGATTTTTAACAGCTGCCCTACTTGTTTAATGGGTTGGATTTGCATCTTTCTGCTTTGCAAATACAAAGTAAAATTTCTAATTACAGAATATAATTAGAAATTTTACTTTGTATTCACAAAGCAGGAAGATGCTCTCCTCATGCAAATCTGACACATTAAACAAGTAGGGCAGCTGTTAAAAATTGAAAGAGATCTCTGCTTTTTATTGAAAGCTAAACCTACAGTAGGACTTGTAATATTATTTTGTTGTCTTGGAATATTCTTTCATGTTTTTTTTGAAGCCGAGAAACTTGTAGCCTGTTGGTTTTGTTTGCATTTTTGTGTTCTTTTGACAGCTGAATTCACAGTTTTATTATCTGAAAAGTTATAAGCGAGATAATGGATTAGATAACATGATAGGAAAGAATTAAATATGTTTTACATAACATACTTGATCACTTTTCAGCTGTTTTTCCTTTTAGTACTTTTA